ATGGAAGGAGATTCTCCTTCTAGACAATAGTGTACACCTTCCTCCTATCCCCTCGTCCCATCTTCCATCCACCCAGAAGTCTTCAGTAAAGGTAAGTGTAATGTTATTATTATTTTTTATATGCATGTACTTGATTTCTCATTGATTTCAGTATATAAATCTTTATTTAATTTGAAAAAAAAAATTTTATTTTAATATTTTTGGGTGTTTGGAACGGATTAATTTTATTTCCATTATTTCTTATGGGGAAAATGATTTCGAGTTTCGTGAATTTCGACTTTCGGCAGGCTCTTTGGAATGGATTAATCATGAAACTCGGGGGTCCACTGTACTATATAGTACTTAAAACATGCTTGTAGTATTAAATGAGTAATACATTACATAAACATTTAAATAAACATTTAAAATCACATTTATGTACCTTTATTGAAGACTTTTTTGGCATCTGGAAGATAGGGAGGAGGAGAGAGGGAAGACTTATTATTGCCTAAACCACTGTCTCCACCACTGCTTCAGCCACTGCCTCAACTACTGCCTCAACCACTGCCTCACTGCCACTATGAAGTTTTTTTGGGCCCATGGTGGCTTATTTCATAGTCACAATCAATAAACAAGCACTAAACACAATGAATTTATTGTGAAATGTTCGGATGAGTGTGCAGGGTAATGTTCACTCAGGGATAAACAAAGCTAGACTGGCTCACAATGCCTGCACGGGGAGGCATGCAGGCGTGGGTTGGCGGACAGGTCTGGTACACCGGCTGAAACACAGGGCAATGGCCAAGACTCGGGACAAAATTTAGCCAAAAAATGTGGTCGAAACTCGAAGCGGCCAATACTCAGGGCGGCCGAAACTCAGGGTTCCACTGTAAATACCTTTTAACCCTTAAACTGTCCAAACGTAGATATACGTTAGCCTGCACAGCACTCCAAATATTTAAAAAAAAAAAAAATCTTTTTTTTTTTTTTTTAAATTGAAGAGCGCATTTTTATAAATGGTATAGGATGAAAAAATTTTTTAGGGTCAGTACTTACCGAGATATAAGCCCGTGAAGTTGGTGCTAAATGATGAGGTGTTGGCAACATGGAGCACTACTGCTTGCAGAAATAATAAACATTTATCGTTTCTATTTTTTGTTGTTTTCATGTTATGATAATGTTTTGCTGCAGATATTTTGATTTTATAGCCAATTCTTGTTTAGACACAAATGTTTGGTACTGAATTAGTAATCATACTGTCACAAACACTCATGTTCACACTGATAAATGAATTTGTACACCTGGCTCAATCACATGCTATTGTTTACATATATATACAAGGTATTTACAAGTCCCATTTATGTTTCTAGAAGTCCACCACTGTATGGTACTCCAAGAAGAATGGATTCATACAGAGTGCCACCCTACATTGCTGACACATGTATCGTGTGTTTTTTCACACTCTGGGCCACTGTTAAGTATAAGCACACTCAACACACTTTTTCTGAGAGTACTTCTTCTTTGAAGTAGATGGTAATGTTACCAGGCAGTGACAGTTAGGGATTATTCGGTTGGGCACTTCCCCCTCTTCTTGTGGAGTGACAGGTCGCTCTTGTGGGGTGACAGGTTGCTGTGGAGTGACAGGTATAGGTGTGGTACCATACTTTCTCGCTATCTGCTTGATGACATTGAGGGTGAATTCTGCATATCGTTGTCACTTCCCAGTCTTTATTTCATACATGTTGAAGGCATTCAGCATTGCAATGTCTACAAGGTGGAAAAACACTTTTATGTACCACTTAGGACTCCTATGCACACAGTCAACAAACCCTATCATCATGTCACATTTGTCGACTAGTTGCATATTGTTCATATAGTCGATGACAGCAGCTGGCTTTACAATAAGTTCATTGTTGAACCTGCTCAGTCTGTCTGTTTTTACCATCTCATTTCTGTGGATGGTTGACAGCAATGTCACATCCCGTTTGTCATGCCACGTCAGTGCCATGATGTCATTGGCATGAAACCCTTCCACTAGACTTCCTCCAGTGAACCTTGGCATGTGTTTTCTACTTCTTCTCACTGTTCCACATATATCGGTATTGTTCACAAGTAGGAAATCAGCGAGCATAGGGCTTGTATACCAGTTGTCTGTGTACAATGTATGACCTTTGCCAAGGTATGGCCCCATCATCTTGCGAACAACATCTCCAGAAATGCCCAACATGTGCCTGGTATTGCCGAGTGTATTTTTCCCTGTGTTGATAATGACATCCAACACAAGACCAGTCTCACAGTCACACATAACAAAGAGTTTTATACCAAAGTGATTATGTTTGCTTGGTATATATTGTTTGAATGACAGTCGTCCATTGAACAGGACCAAGGACTCGTCGACAACAATATTCTTGAATGGATAAAAGTAAGCACTAAATTTTTGCTTCAGATACATAAACAATTCCTGGATTTTGTATAAGAGGTCATTTCTATTTGGTGTATTCCTGTCTGAGAAGTGCAACATTCATAGCAACAGAGTGAATCTGTTGCAGGGAAGGAGGTCACGGAAGACTGAAGTACTGATGAAGTGGTCTGTGGACCAGTAGTGTGCTACATTGTTCTTATATGTGTGTGTGGCATAAGCATGACAGTGCCAAGGAATAAATACATTTCAGCCACAGTTGTATCTTTCTACCTGTGCAGCCGTGAAGACTCTGAAACATCTGTGTGGTTCATTGTATACTGGTAGTACATATTGGTCTGGGTAACAACTAGGTTCATTATCGGCTCATCAAAGTATAGTTGAAAATAGTCTAACTCTGTAGACTCATTTGTGATGGGACAGTGTGGCATGATGCCACTTCCACTGGCATCAAAATTGAAAGGATATGGCACAAATTGTGTACTTTCTGTCCAGTTCCATTTGCGATCAGATGGTGCAGGGATGACCTATGGCATAGGGCTTGGGGGAGCAGGAGGGGGGACAGGAGTGGAGGCAGCACATGGTTGAGAGGGTGCCGAGTGGTTCTTTGTCTGCCCACCCACTGCGCCATGAGGTCCAGGCACCATGCCATCCCCCTCTTCCTCCATCCCAGCATATTCACCATCATTATCACTATCACTATCAGTGGCTGGGGTTTTGGATCGTGATCTGCCATGACCCTTGCTGCTGACTACATATGGCACACTGCCTGAACATAGGTTACGACGCCTAAAAGTACATTTCACTGGGGAATAATGATAATCACTTTCACTCGACGAATTGTCTATCGGCATAAAATCAATTTCATCATCATCACTTATATCACTTCTTTCACTATCGTCATCACCCAAAAGCAGGGAAAATGATAATTTTCTCTTGCAGAGTTGCCTTTGGGAAGTAACACTAGCAACCCCAGAGGTGCTGGGCTGAGGGTCTGTTGTGGCCACACTGGCCACATTAGCCACACTGGCCACCTCAGAAGTGCTGGACTGAGGGTCTGGTATGGCCACACTGTCCACACTAGCCACCCCAGAGGTCATGGGCTGAGAGTCTGTTGTGGCCACACTGGCCACATTAGCCACACTGGCCACATTAGCCACACTGGCCACCTCAGAAGTGCTGGGCTGAGGGTCTGGTATGGCCACACTGTCCACACTATCCACACTGGCCACCCCAGAGGTCATGGCCTGAGAGTCATCTGGGTTATCAACAAAAGTTTCACTAATTCCTTGATTTTTAGTCGCTATTTCGGAGTCAAAACCATTAAACTCGCGTTCTGTATCACTTTCCGAGAATAGTAGTGTTAATACGATGAGGTGTCAATGAATCATGGGGTTTGCCATGTTATTGACCCAAGATGGAGCTGAAACTAACTGGTGTTACCATGAGGTACCCCAGCATCCCCAATTTTTTTCAATCTGCGTACACTGAGTGCACAAACTCATTCTCTCATGCCTAGGCGACTCAGGCCTATTGCGCCAATTTTGAAGGAATGAAAAATAAAACGTTGATCTACATTCGGAACCTGCCACACATCAACGTATATCTACGTGTGGACAGTTTAAGGGTTAATTATCATTAATCGCTGTTTCTGACACAATTAAGCAAAATAAAGGCAGCTTCATTATCTCTGGAGCATTAGCAAGAATCCTCCTCAAAACATCACATAGTTACCGCTGCTAATACTACACAAGAACATAACAGTAGAGGAACACTGAAACAGGCCTTCTCGAATCCAACAACTAACAGAAATATTTGTTCACCCTTTTCTTATGCTACCCAAGCTATAAGCTTTTATACCTTTTTACTCATGTACAAGTTGATTTTTCTACCACATGTACTACTACTACTACTACTACTACTACTACTGCTACTGTGCTGCTGCTGCTGCTGCTGCTGCTTGCTGTACTACTCGCTGCTGCTGCTCTGCTGCTGCTGCTGCTGCTGCTGCTGCTGCTGCTGCTGCTGCTGCTGCTGCTGCTGCTGCTGCTGCTGCTGCTGCTGCTGCTGCTGCTGCTGCTGCTGCTCTGCTGCTGCTGTCTGCTGCTCTGCTGCTACTGCTGCTGCTGCTACTGCTGCTGCTGCTGCTGCTTTCTGCTGCTGCTGCTGTGCTGCTGCTGCTGCTGCTGCTTGATGCTGCTGCATGCTGCTGCTGTGCTGCTGCTGCTGCTGTGCTGCTGCTGCTGCTCGCTGCTGCTGCTGCTGCTGCTGCTGCTGCTGCTGCTGCCTGCTGCTGCTGTGCTGCTGCTGCTGCTGCTGCTGCTGCTGACTGCTGCTGCTGCGACTGCTGCTGCTGCTGCTGCTGCTGCTGCTGCTGCTGCTATTATTATTATTCCAGTTTCTTTCATAAAAGTGATTTTAAAATTACACCTCACTCTAAACCTATATATACCCTCTGTGTTCATGTATTGTTTGTAATGGCTTAATAAAGCTTCTGGAGAGTGAAACATTGCCACAGAAAAATATCACATTAGTTGCACTTGTGTCCTTTTACCTAACATAAACTTTTTTTGTTTTTATCTAATGCATTTCTGTCATACAGGGCACTACTTATACGTTGACTCCAGTAAGAGTAATTCTGGAGCTTATGCAAGCCTTGCTGCTCCTGTAGTCTCTGAATTACCTGAAGCTTGTGTAGCTCTTGTGTACTTCACCTCCAGTAAGACTGGTGTGCTGCAGGTTTGGCTTCATACTCAAGAGATTCCTGAAGCCATCTTACTTGGGGAATTCTCTGCTCCATTTGATACATGGACTGGTGTGAGGTCAGTAAATAAGTATTAAATCAAATGATAGATTATTGTCACTCTGGAGAATTATGGTGATACCAACAGTATAAAGACATACATGCACAGTTCAAATCATTTACTGAGGAAACATTTTGCCACAAGTGACTTCTTTAGTCCTAGAGAGCACTGAAAGTTTTTCCTAGCATTCTAGAAGGTAGTGGAGAGAACAGGTGTCTAGAATTGGTGAGGTGGTGTGGAGTGGATCTTGATACTACAATCTTGATGTAGTCTTATAGAAAAGCTAAGGCTGTTTTCTCTTAGGTGGAGAGAAAGAATGTTTGTAAAAAAAATGTCTGTCTCTAGTGCTGTGTCTGAGAAATGACTGGAGAGCTATGGTAATACTGATAGTATATAAATAGAGACACATATGCACATTCAAGACATTTATTGAGGAAACATTTTGCCATAAATGACTTCTTCTGGACTGAAGAAGCCACTTCTGGTGAAATTTTTTTCAATAAAAATGTCTTGAGTTTTTTGGAACAGATTTTATTAGATACATATCATTAGTGCATGAATGAATGCATAGTAGTATATCCTCAAAAAAACAAAGGATATATGTGAACAGTGTTTAGATGAAGGTAAGAAATTTTTGTTGTGTTTGTTTATTTAAAACAGACATTTTATATATAGTGGATAGGGGCACACACTGTGGCAGGTATTGCAAGTATATGAAAGAAGTAACAAATACTAAAAGCAGCAAAAGGTTATTAAGCAAAGAGTGAGGCTCAAGTTAAGGTATGGAGTAGAAAAGTGATTATTTTCCTGTAAAAGTGGGCCTTAGACAGAGATATGTAATATTACCTTGATTATTTAACCTATTTATAAATGGAAATGTGAAAGAAGTGAATGCTAGGGTGTAGAGAGGTGTAGGATTAAGAGATGTTGTATTTGATACAAAGTGAGAGCTATGTCAGTTGCTGTTTGCTGATGACACAGTTCTCTTAGGGGATTCTGAAGAGAAGTGACAAAGGTTATTATATTAATTATGAAAATACTGTGCATACAGGTATGCAAGATTTTCATATTAGTACCACTGCATTATAACTTAGGAATCTTTAAATCTTTCTATGAAAGTTTCACTAGGTTAATCTCTTTATTATTCAAGTTTGTCCATGTTAATCGGCCTTTGTTGTTGTTCACTTGTTGTGAACATAATAGTGCAGCAGGGTGACCCAAAAAGAAAAAAAAAACTTTCATCATTGTTCAACACTGTCACCATCATTCATACATAATCACTGTCTTTGTAGAGGCGCTCAGATACGACAGTTTAGATGTCCCTCCAGACAGTCAGTATCCCAAAGTGCAAGCATTGTACTTCCCACCTCTAGGACACAAGGCCGGCTAACCGGTTTCCCTGAATCCCTTCACAAAATATTACCCTGCTCACACTCCAACAGCTTGTCAAGTCCCAGAAACCATTCATCTCCATTCACTCCTAACACTTGCTGGAAGTTCAAGCCCTTTGCCTACATGTCATATAATTTTTTTTTTTTTTAACAAGTCGGCCGTCTCCCACCGAGGCAGGGTGACCCAAAAAGAAAGAAAATCCCCAAAAAGAAAATACTTTCATCATCATTCAACTCTTTCACCTCATTCACACATAATTACTGTTTTTGCAGAGGTGATCAGAACACTACAGCTTAGATGCATATACGTATAAAGATACACAACATATCCCTCCAAACTGCCAATATCCCAAACCCCTCCTTTAGAGTGCAGGCATTGTACTTCCCATTTCCAGGACTCAAGTCCGGCTATATAAAAATAACCGGTTTCCCTGAATCCCTTCACTAAATATTACCCTGCTCACACTCCAACAGATCGTCAGGTCCCAAATACCATTCGTCTCCATTCACTCCTGTTGAACATGCTCACGCACGCCTGCTGGAAGTCCAAGCCCCTTGCCCACAAAACCTCCCTAACCCCTTCCTTCCAACCTTTTCGAGGACAACCCCTACCCCACCTTCCTTCTCCTGCAGATTTAAATGCTCTCCATGTCATTCTACTTTGATCCATTCTCTCTAAATGACTAAACCACCTCAACAACCGCTCTTCAGCCTTCTGACTAATACCTTTATTAACTCCACACCTTCTCCTAATTTCCACACTCCAAATTTTCTGCATAATATTTACACCACACATTGCCCTTAGACAGGACATCTCCACTGCCTCCAACTGCCTCTTCGCTGCTGCATTCACAACCCAAACTTCACACCCATATAAGAGTGTTGGTACTATACTTTCATACATTCCCTTTGCCTCCATAGATAACATTTTTTGTCTCCACATATACCTCAATGCACCACTCACCTTTTTTCCCTCATTAATTCTATGATTAACCTCATCCTTCATAAATCCATCCGCCGACACGTCAACTCCCAAGTATCTGAAAACATTCACTTCTTCCATACTCCTCCTCCCCAATTTGATATCCAATTTTTCTTTATCTAAATCATTTGATGCCCTCATCACCTTACTCTTTTCTATGTTCACTTTCAACTTTCTACCTTTGCACACACTCCCAAACTCGTCCACTAACCTTTGCAATTTTTCTTTAGAATCTCCCATAAGCACAGTATCATCAGCAAAAAGCAACTGTGTCAATTCCCATTTTGTATTTGATTCCCCATAATTTAATCCCACCCCTCTCGCGAACACCCTAGCATTTACTTTTTTTACAACCCCGTCTATAAATATATTAAACAACCATGGTGACATTACACATCCCTGTCTAAGACTTACTTTTACCGGGAAGTAGTCTCCCTCTCTTCTACACACCCTAACCTGAGCCTCACTAACCTCATAAAAACTCTTTATAGCATTTAGTAACTTACCTTGTACTTGCAACATCTGCCACATTGCTTCCCTATCCACTCTATCATATGCCATATAAATGACATATAAATATGAATATAATTCAGTTGAAAGGAAACTGTATGTCCATATATGTTATATTATTTATTTTTAAAGAATGGAGGGAGGGGGTAAAAAGGGGTCTTGTGTGCACGAGGCTTGGACATGCAGCAGACACGTCTAAGCATTTTAGTTTTTGGGACCTTACAAGCTGTTGGAGTATGAGCAGGGTCATATTTTATGAAGGGACTCATGGAAACTGGATAGCTGGACTTGAATCCTGGAGGTGGAAAGTATAATGCTTGTACTTTTAAAGAGTGGTTTGGGATATTGGCTGTTTGGAGTGACAACTAAACTATCGTATCCGAGTGCCTCTGCAAAGATGCTGATTATGTGTGAATGATGGTGAAAGTGTTGCTTTTTTTTTTTGGGGTCACCCTGCCTCGGTGAGAGATGGCCAATATGTTGAAAAAAAAACAAAAAATATTTTAATAATGAAAATAACATCTAAATGTGGATAAATTGTGACAAATATCTGAGTCATTGCTATTGAGTTCTAATACTAATTTTAACATGATGACAGCCTCAGTGACTCAGCTGTCTTTATATCAGTACCTACATGAGTGATGGAAACACTTATAAAGGACTTGTGCAGTTCTTTGTGCACCAAAGTGTAGGAGTAAGTTTTTTTTCTTTATAACATATTAGTCACCAAAACAAGGTGACCCACACTAGGAAACTTATTCACTAGTTGATAACCAAGAGAGTCACCTAAAGTAGGAAACATTTTCCAGTTTTTTTCCAGAAACACAGGGACATCACATTCACCATCACTTATTCTCTAGTTGTCTTTCCATAGTACAAGAGCATCATAGTTCAAATGACCCTCTGAACTGCAACAACCCTAAACTGTGACTGATATTCAGGAAGTTACTCAAGCAACAGAATTTAGGCTGATAATAGGCAAATTAATGAAGAGGACTGAGGTACCATTGTACATGAGAAACACCAAAACTTTCTAGGTTTAAAGATTATTTTGCCATTAGTTGTAAAATTGAAACTAATTTTTTTCAGGATGTCAGTTTTGGCTGCAGGGGTATGGCAAATAGAGCTTAAAGTTGTAGTTGAGCATAATGGTGGATTTATAGGTATTGATGATTATATCATGGGACCTGGTGCTTGTCCTGACCCAGTATCCTGTGACTTTGAGGATGGTATTTGCTTATGGCAGAATTTGGAAACTAATAAATGGACCACTGGTAAGTGCTTTTTAAAGTTAACAGTTTGTTAATTAATCTATCAGAATTTAGAGATGACTAAACTTAGTTGATATATATCTTCAGTTTTTATTGTTGAATTATGAGTCTGTTGATAACTGTTGATATTTCATCTGTTTTTAAAGCAGCAAAGCCTATTAATTGTTAGAAATATTGAATTCTATGACTTAACCCTTTCAGGGTCGACAGGCCCTCTCAGAGACTTGTTCTCAGGGCCGGCCAAATTTAAAAAAAAAAAAATCATTTTTTCTTATGAAAAGATAGAGAATCTTTTCCCGATCATAATGACACCAAAAGTATGAAATTTGATGGAAAACTTACGGAATTATGCTCTCGCGAAGTTAGCGGTCTCGACGATGTTTACGCATCAGCGATTTTGCCCACTTTGAGCCCTATTTTTGGCCAATTCCAGTATACTTGTTGACAAAAATCATAACTATTTTGCTAGAACTCCATTTTTTTCTATCAAATGAGTACAAAAAAACACCCATTTACCGATTTCAACTATCCAATACAGTGGTCAGAATTTAGCAATTTTGCCAATTTCACACAAATTTCAAAAGATGCCAATTTCCGAATAGGGTCCAGAATAAACAAGAAAGACATTCCTGGCACTAAAATAACATTTCCTTTGTTCATTAGTCACATCCCCATGCCCCTCTTACATTCTTTTGCTTTCCTGAATTTTTATTCTTACAAAAAAATAGAAGATTTACGGTTATGCAGACTACTGCATTGATGAAGAAATGGTATAAATAATATCAGCGCACTTGTGAAAGAATATTAGACTCACCAGTGTGTATTGGATGCATAGCATGATTTGTTTACTTTTGAACTTTGGTAAAAATTGAACATTTCTGCTACTTTGAGCTCAATTTCAAGGTACTTTTCTTTGTAAAACCAGTCAAAATCATCTTAATTCTGTAATATGTCTTCCATTCTATAAAATGAGGCCAGGAAAACTAGAATACAACAATAAATACCATACGAAAATATAGTGCAAATTTGCTGTTTTAATTCAAAAACACGTTCAAAGTTTTTTTTTTCTCATTACACACTGTGTGCTGCAGGATTTTTTAATACTGTGCACACTGACCACATAGACCCATTCTTCCATATGTAGGCCTACCAGCTTTCTCTCACTAGATTTGAGGGCGCTAGAATTTAGGCATACTAGTACGTCAAAAACCCTGGCTTGTAAGCCGTACTAGTACGGCCAAAATCCTGAAAGGGTTAAAAAAGTACCATTAATATTAATGCATGAACAGTGGTTATTAGAGTTTCAGATGTTTTCAGAGAAATTTAATAATGAGAAAGGAATTTTTTAAAGCATGTAATACCCGAAATAAGCAAGAATTATTTACAGTGGATATTTAAAAATGCAGGGCTAGAGCGCTGACAAAATTATTATATAGAACACAATTTTTTGTGGGATGAGCTTGGATCTATTTAATAGAGTAAGTCAGTGCTCCTTTTGTATTTGGGACTGTGGCAGAAAAATTCAAGCCTGAATATTGTGAAATAGTAATAGGGTGTAATTTATATCTGATATAAAATATGATGTGGGAAAGATGATAACTAATATGATATGAAAAGCATTTTACTATAATCTTTCTTCTTTCTTTCAACAAACCGGCCGTATCCCACCGAGGCAAGGTGGCCCAAAAAGAAAAACAAAAGTTTCTCTTTTTAAATTTAGTAATTTATACAGGAGAAGGGGTTACTAGCCCCTTGCTCTCAGCATTTTAGTCACCTCTTACAACACACATGGCTTACAGAGGAAGAATTCTGTTCCATCCCATGGAGATAACAGGAAATAAGCAAGAACAAGAACTAGTAAGAAAATAGAAGAAAACCCAGAGGGGTGTGTATATATATATATATATATCTTTCAACACACCAGCCGTATCCCACCAAGGCAGGGTGTTCCAAACAGAAAAACGAAAGTTTAACTTTTTAAAGTTAGTAATTTATACGGGAGAAGGGGTTACTAGCCCCTTGCTCCCGGCATTTTAGTAGCCTCTTACAACACGCATGGCTTACGGAGGAAGAATTCTGTTCCACTTCCCCATGGAGATAAGAGGAAATAAACAAGAACAAGAACTAGAAAGAAAATAGAAGAATACCCAGAGGGGTGTGTATATATATGCTTGTACATGAATGTGTAGTGTGACCTAAGTGTAAGTAGAAGAAGCAAGACATACCTGAAATCTTGCATGTTTATGAGACAGACAAAAGACACCAGCAATCCTACCATCATGTAAAACAATTACAGGTTTTCGTTGTACACTTACTTGGAAGGACGGTAGTACCTCCCTGGGCGGTTGCTGTTTACCAACCTACTACCTAGGATATATATATATGCTTGTACATGTATGTGTAGTGTGACCTAAGTGTAAGAAGAAGTAGCAAGATGTACCTGAAATCTTGCATGTTTATGAGACAGAAAAACGACACCAGCAATTCTACCATCATGTAAAACAATTACAGGTTTCCGTTTTACACTCACTTGGCAGGACGGTAGTACTGTACCTCCCTGGGCGGTTGCTGTCTACCAACCTACAGCCTAGAATTACTAAAATATATAGAGATAATTATAATAATACACAGTACATTGGACCCCGCGAATTCATGATTCCGAATTCACGGCTTCAATAATTTGTGGATTTTTCCTTAGAACCTAACTATTAATTGTTCACGGAAAGCCACGCAAATTCGCAGGATTTTTTTTTTTTGGCTTTTTTTGTGGCAATATATAATTTTTAATGCAGTTTGATGCTAAATATTAAGAAAAATATAATTTAATAATTTTGTAACACAAATACTATTAATGTAAATTCAGCAAAATTCCCATATAAAATATAATACAGCCTCTCCTTACTTAGCGACGTACTAGTTTACTGATGACTCGGACTTACAACTGGCTCTCTGACCAGTGTGCATGCCTAAATAATGTATATTAGAGCTGATTTCCTCAATTCTGTTTATTACAATATGGAGTACACTACTGTATAAACATTTAAAAATATGCCAGAAATGTTATCAATGGTGCAAAAGTGACATTAAAACAATATCAAAGATGGTTGACACAAACCAATTACCATTATACTATGCTCCTCACTTACCGACAAACTCATTTACTGATGTGGTCTTAGGAACGGAACTCCGTCGTTAAATGAGGAGAGGCTGTACTGTATAAATGAAATGATTAATGTATATTTACTGTATGTATACCAAAGAAAATGGGGTTGCATGAATTACAGTATACCAAAGAAAATGGGCTTACATGAATTTCAGTACATATGGGGGTAATATCGGTATTGTACATTCTAGCACTGTGGAAGACATAGCAGTACAGTACTGTATATGGGTTTATCTTTATTTTCTTTTTTTTTTAAGAGTGATGTATGAAGCTGAGTTTGAAATTAAATTAAAGTGTTTTGGGGCATATTTAGGGCTTAAACTATAAAAATAGGCATATTTTTAACTGCGTCCAGAATTTGGGTTTTTTCCAAATTTGTGGGTGGTCTTGGAACTTAACCCTCGCAAATTTGGGGGGACTACTGTACTCAGTGCAACAAAAAGTATGCCAGCCTGAAAACTTGTAGCAGGATGTTTCAGGATTCTCTAAGGCTACTGGCTGCATCTTAGGTGCCTTCTAGGCTTGTTGGATAGATAGATTTGTGTCCATGGTCTCCCTGTACTGTGTTGGCTTGAATGTTAAGTTTGTTGGATTTTTTTGGCTATAGACAGATAAATATGGACAGGATTAAGTCACTGACAAAAGAGACAATTCCACAGATCATTGAATTACATAAGGCAGGTCATCAAATGAAAGAAACGGTAGAAGCCATCGATCTGCATGTGTGAGCATTCTATGAGGACCTGGTTGAATTGGTTCTATCAGGGAGATGGTGATGACATCCAGGGAAATCTAGGAAAAGGGCCTCACTAACTTTAACCATAATAACTTATCTAGAATTGCTCTAAGATAATTTCTGAATCCTTCACTCAGTGTGGTGCAAAGATTTTTACGCAAGACAGTGCTCCTTGCCATACCACGAAATCAGTTGTTCATTGACTTTATGACTGGGAAGTACCCTTCTTTGATGAGTGGTCAGGAAATTCCCCAGACTTGAACCTCATTGAGAACCTCTGGCCAGTGATAGAGAAATCTACAGGGAAAGGACATCAGCCCCCTTCCCACAGCTAGTGGTTGCCATCTGTGACTTGTGGGAGAATGTACCCTATGAAAGCTTAAAGTATGTGCATGAATCACTTCATAATGGTTGAAGGATGTCCTAAGGCTCAAGAGTTTACTTTTTTTTTGTGGTTGTCATTTGAGATGGGGTGGCCAGCATACTTTAATGACAAGCATTATATGTTAATTCTAAATGACATTTGATCTGAAAATCTTCAGTTCTTTTCTGTTAAAATCTGATGGTTTGAGACCAGGTTGCCAGACATGGATCTCTATTAAGACCATAGCTTTCTGAGTAAAATCAGTAGCTTGTTTAGTTGGTGCAGTGAGGAAACAGCTTACCAAGTAGTCTTTGCAAATTGCAATAACCAGCTATTATTGGTCTTAATCATGAAACCTACTACCAGTAACTTGACAGCAGCAGTTGTCTTCCCAATCTTTGTCAAGAGGTCAAAAATTTTTTTACTTAATTTTCTAACATGTCGGCTGTCTCCTACCAAGGCAGTGTGACCCAAAAAAGAAAGAAACACTTTCCACCGTCATTCAAAACTTTCACCATCATTCACATATAATCACTGCCTTTGCAGAGGTGCTCGGATGCAATAGTTTAGATGTCACTTCCAACAGCCACTATCCCAAACCCCTCCTTTAACTCCTTAACTGTCCAAATATATATCTACGTTCTCACCCAGTGCTCCGAATATTTTGAAAAAAAAAATGTTTTTTTTTTTTTGATTAACCCCCTTGACTGTTTCGGTCGTATATATACGTCTTACGAGGT